AGAGATGTTCAATTAATATAATAAGCGCAGGATGAAGTATGAAATGAAAATTACATCTTACCAACTCAGGAAACTAAATCAAAAAAATAAAATCTTAAAATCTTCATGGAAAACATTTTATGTTTATATAACTACTTTCATTGGAAAGTTCGCTTTCCGACCATGCGACCTAAGTTCGATTCTTAGCATGGTCGGCATATTAGATACGGGAGTCGTTCATGTTATCGACTTGGATTAAAATTGGGTAGGTCCGAAGGTCGTCATTCTTCGATGATTGTCCTTGTTTAAACTACTGATCAAATCAAATTATGCACCCTCACCTAGAAATTCTGTCTAAAAACCGCTAAACATAGACTCAAATGTCAAAGGTGGAATATGTTCAAGAATTTTAGAGGAAGATCAGTTCCTTTAATATTATTAGAAATTAATATTAGAAACAAGAACGAACTGCGTATAACAATTCCAGTAGATCAAGTATAATAATATAGTCTGTATATAGTATATACTTGCATTCATAACCATATTTCCATATACAAGAGAGAGAGAGAGAGAGAGTGAGAGAGAGAGAGAGATGATGCTGCTGATGATGATAAAAGGTATTTAACTTGACCTTTCAGCTGTCTTCTCGACTTCAATTTTCATCCGTAGAGCATGCTTCACCAAACACTATCTTCAATCGCGAAAACAACTGACGGGTCAATTATAAATACCTTCTGACATCATTTACAATTTGCTTTGTTTTCATTATATATATATATATATATATATATAAAGATAAAAGGAAAACTTATCTTACCGACGTGACATTGTCATAGCAAATATAAGGATTTTATTTTTTAAAAATGATTTATAAACATCAATGGTCCCCTAACATCATGAATTTAAGTAGGCTACTAGGCTGGTATCTCGGCCCCACCCTTTCACTGTCGAAACAGTTAAATGTAACCGCCTTTTTCTACTCCAACGGCTTCTTCTCTCGCATTACCCGACAGTGGAACTCTCTTTCTCCTACTTGCTTCCCTGAATGCCCCATATCTTCAAATGTAATGTCAATCGACATCTTCTGATGCCTTGATCCTGATCCCCGTCCATCTTTTTATCCTTTCCTCAAACATCCCCCTCTTTACTCTTACTGTGGGTAACGCCTTGCTTACTACCGGCACTCCCGTCTCGCTTGGGGTGAAATGCTTATAAATAAAATCTTTACATTTGCCTAGATAAAGTTTATCAGGAGACAAATCGCATTAGCTAACATAAGCTATCCTTTCGTATTTATTGTTATTGTCCTTTTACAGATATATATATATATATATATATTAATTATATCTGAATGTTTGCATGTATATATATATATATATATATATATATATATATATATATATATACGGTAATTATTGAAAAGGGCTCAATATCATTGATAGAGCTAATATTCATATTTGGATTGATGTGTGTTTTGACCCTGGGTTTCACACCATTTGGTGATCATCAATCCAACTATATATATATATAGTTGATTGATGTGTGTTTAGACCCTGGGTTTCACACTATTTGCAATCATCAGACAAACCTTGACTGATGATCGCAAATAGCGTGAAACCCAGGGTTACAAACACACATCAATCCAACTATATATATATATATATATATATATATATATGAATAATAGAATGGGAAAATGTGTATGTGACGCGTTTCGTCCTTCGAAATGGCGTCTTTAGACTAAATAACGTTTTTACAGATGGAATTATGTATGTAGTGAGAAGGAACCATCTATGACAAATGTTCGGCTACAGTTATACACCGAGAGAAAATTCCTTCCTTACCTTTCATATATATAATTCCAGAAATAAAAATGTTTTTTTTCAGTCGGAAGAAATTATTTCGAATGTCAGGACGGGTCACGTAGCATAGTTGATTTTGTTGTTTAGTTACACTGCATGAGGCTGATATGCGATATGTCTTTATTGATCAATACAACAGATTCAGTATTTTACATGCGAATGCTGAAAGGTTCTCAGCCCTACCAAGAGGCCCTCTCCTCCCTAAAACAACTCAAATCTTTCGTCATTTGGCCAGAAATGAGGAAATAATTCAAACCGATAATGTTCTCAGTAAATATGACGAGAAATATATATGCTAGAACCCGCTATCATAAATTTAATTATTTAAACAATTCTTTTCAGCATAGGTTTTGCCGGTTCTGGCATCTTCTCTCAGGTTATATCGAATCGGTCTCCACTAGAAACACAAAATATATCAGTTTCAAAAGTTGTCTTTTTTTTTTCTTCTCTAGATTTTCTTTATTTAATGATTCTAAATGCCACAAATATTTTACACGATATTCATGTAAACACATCTCACTAGAGAAGCTGTTTAAAGGTTATAAATTCACCCTTCTCAAATCATTTTTCCGTATGGCATGTGGCCCATTCCCTCTTCTCCTAATGAAACACCCTCCCCCTCTATATTTTTTCTTTCTTTTTTCTCTAACGCAAAAGCA